TACAACTAGTTTTGAAGAGCATATAGGTTCGCTTCTTGCATGTCTATATGACTATTGCTTTTGGATATATTTGAGTAGATGTTCTAGTTTTCATTTTTAAATATTAATGATGTGTTTTTTTAATAATTGTTGTGGTGGTTGAAAGTTTTCACTACTAGTATTGTTAATCTTCTGAAGCATATAATTAGTGTTAATCTTACCATGTGCTACCATCCATGCAAAGACTTGTACCTTAGTGGGCACTTTAGAAGTCAAAATCATCAAAGCAAGGGCAAACAAAGGATACGAATTTTCATCCAACAATGACTCAAAAACAGATTTATATGAGAAAACTCTTGAAGACTCATTTAACCATTGTCTTGTGTCACTAGAGTCTTGATTAACAGTGACGTTATTAAGAATATCAAGAAATACATTATTTAATCAGTTGACATGACAGTACTGAATTTTCACCTTGACTCTTTAGATCATCAGTTGACATGATCCGATATTTACTTCTTTTTTTTTTTTGGGTACATTGGAAAGATAAAAAAAACAACTACTAGATAGATTTCCTAGGATGCGAGGTACTCGCTAAATCTGCATTCAGCAGGCTCCCCAGCTCTAGTGGGGGATCTTCAAGCTCAATGAAAGCTTTATGTTGCTGGAATCCAAGGTTCGCAAGTAGGTCTGTAAACTGGTTCCCTTCCCTCAGAGTATGCAAGATGTGAACTCTGATCACCTCCATCAGATGCTTACACTTTGTTATAAGGGCTCTATTCGGAGTGGTCTCATACTGTTCAGAGGTAAGGAGGTTGGAAACCTCAAGGGAATCAATCTCAACCACCACTTAACTAATCCTTTTCCTTTGGAGGAGTTCAAGTCCTTTGAGGATAGCCCAAAATTCAGCTTGAGTGCTCGTAGTATCTTCCATAAATTCCAAGCATCCAACGGCCTTGCTCATCTTTGATAATGCCTCCTACTCCAGTTGGTCCAGGATTTCCTTTGGAGCATCCATCTGTGTTGAGTTTCTTCCAACCTATTTGTGGGAAACTCCAACAAATCAGTACAATGGAGTTTGAAGAACTAGGCAGGTAAGAAAATTGGAATGCATTCACTGTATCCAGTGCAAGAGTCCAAGCTTCTCTAGCTACCTGTTGGGGGTTAACAATAATTTTAGAGATAGAATCTCTATTTCTGTCCTTCCAAATACTTCAAATAATACAGGGAAACATGATGTTCCATTTTATCCCCTTCCACTCCTCCCCATGCAGTATGAATTAATCCATCTCTAGAGATCAATAAGGGAGTCTTACTCTCTCTCTTAATTAGTGAGATACAGTCACCATATTTTTTGTGTTTTAGGGTAGTCCCTCAAAATATGAATAGTGGTTTCATGCTGAGCCTTACACCTACAAGAAGTAGCCTCTTCAATCATATTTCTTGTGGCTCGTAAATTGTTAAATAAAATTCTGTATTTCAAAACCAGCCACAAGAAATACTTTAATTTATGAGGAAGAACTAATTTCCAAACCCACTCCAGTTTAACCTGGTATTGAGTTCTTGATTAGAGGTAGTAAGCATATTATAAGCCGATTTAGTAGAGAAAATACCAAGAGTGAACCCAACAAGGTGTATCCAGAAATTCCCCAGGTGCAGGAAAGGGAGTGTTGCTAATTTCAAGCAAAATTGAAGGGGGAAGTGACATACCTGTCCCATGGAGAATCCACTTACCATTTGAATCAGTGAAGTCTGAGACTCAGCTGTTAATGTCTGCACTGATTGGAATGTCAATCCTGTTCTGAAGGGGTTCATTTCCAGTCCACCAGTCTGACCAGAATGCTATTTTTAGATCCATCTCCAACTATCCACTTGGTTCCTTCATCCACCAAATCCTTAGTTTTTGCAATAGCTCTCCAAGTGTGAGAAGATGAAATTTTAACAGCCCAATTTTGGGACTTAGACAGTATACTTATCTTTGAGAACTCTAACTCAAACAGAATTATGATTATTCTTAATTTTCCATCCCAACTTAGAAAGTAAGGCAACATTATTATCTTTACTTTTCCTTAAGCCCAAGTTGAACATTTGGAATGTCAATCCTATTCCGATATTTACTGCCACAAAAGAAATAATTAGAAGTCTTCTATATACTTTGCAGATCAATATCTGAAGTCTCCCTGTTTATTATTGCTGAGTTGGTAGCTTTTGCAATGATGAAGCTGCTTTTGCCTCCTTATACCCAATTCAGCAGTCCAGTCAGTAGGAGGAAACCCTTTTGGATAGTTTCAATAAAATTTTCTTATTCCAGTTCAAGATTCTGATATTTTGTTTTAGACCCCTAACATCCTAGGAGAAGCCTGGTCCTGTCTGGTGGAAGGTAAAATGAAACCAAGCATTTTTGTATTCTGAATGTGTATGTCTATTGTATTTTCATGTTGAATTATTCCTGCACCATAGAATTTTTTTGAATTTTGACTAGGTTAGTGTCAGCATTTTCTCTACAACAATGGTTTGGATTTCCCCACCAGTTTAAAACTACATTCAGAAATTCAAAATGTATTTAGAGATATGAAATGGGTTTCTTTATAGGTAATATAGTAGGAAAAGATATGCCATTCATTTTTTAATATACTTTTGACCAACGGATTAAACTATGGTACCGAATGTTCCATGTTATACCCAAAATAATTTCCTAGTCATGGGTCTTGTTTTGATTTACCATTGTTGGGACTTTCAATGAACAGATGACTTTAGAGACAGCTGTGCTTTCTCATGATGGTTCTGCTTCTTATGGCTCATGTTTTGTCTCTTACAACTAACATTACAATGCATTTTTAAGCTTGTAGATGAATGTTTAAATTCTACAATGGATATGTGTACCAACCCACTTCCCCAACACCTCTTTAATTTTGTCAGTGTTAGGTGATCACATGATCATCATTAATACAATTGATTATGGCTGGGTTGTAAACACCTCTGTTTCTGTTTGGAGGGCATTAATGAGACCTTCAAACAGAACATTGTTCCAAAAATTAGGGTCGTAATTGTGTCATGTCGAGTATGTTTGTAACATGTTATTTATGGGTTTGTGTCGAACATTAATCAACCTTAATTAAATTTATTTAATTAATTGTGTCGTATTGACCTAATCTATTTATTCTTATGTCGTGTTTGTTTTGACCAATATAACCCGTGAATAAAAAAATTCAAGATTATGTAATTTCAAAATTTCATTATTAAATAATTGAACTCATGCTCATATTTTTTCTATGAATTAAAAATTAATTTAATAGACATAATAATAAAAATGAGTAAAAACATCTTTTTTTTTATACGAATTATGTAAAACTTGATAAAAAATAATAAAAAATTATTTTTTTAATTTTATAATGCTAGTTGAACATGTTAATTTTGTGTTGTTTGTATTTTATACTAATCTAATTTATTTATTTTTCGTATTAATGAGTCTTGTCATTTATGGATCTGTATCAAAAACTGATCAATTCAAACTCACTAATTTAGTGTTGATTTTGAGTCATTTTTTTGTCGTGTTAAAAATTGTCACTCTTCTAAAAAAATTAATGGTTGAGGGAGTTAAGAATAACTTTATTATAATTCTAAGAGTTTTTTATGAAGGATGGCTATGGCTTTTGAACCCTAGACATTAATGGTCCGTTTGGTAGAAAGAATAAAAAATGAAGGATGAAAAATTATGAGAAATATATTTTTCACCCATTGAGAAAAAAAAGTAAATTTTCTTCTTTGTTGGTTGATAGGAATAATGAAAAATTAGAAGGTATAATTTTTTTGTTTTGTTTTGTTTGATATAAGAATAGAAATGAATAAAAAATTTATCACTTAATTACGTTATAGCCCTTGTGTGTGTAGACTTTTTTGCTACAACTTTTCAAGAATAAAAAATGTGGACCCCACCATTTTGCTCTACTTTTGTCCACAAAGTAACAAAATAAGTGGACCCTACAATTGTGTATGGGTGTATCACCTGTCACTTTACCCAAATGGTTGCCACTTCGGTATGGTGTCTTTTTCGGTACCATACTGTCGGACCTTTGTTTGCGACTTGAAGGAAAATAGTTTCCACTCTATTATTGTCATTTTGTTATTTACTAATGCTTCCACGTCGACCTCTCAATTGAGTCTGTTAATCGTATTGATTGAGTTATAACAGATTTGTGTCAAAAAGTACTCCAGATACATGTCGGATTTTATTATTGACTCAATTTATTTATTAATTCTCGTTAAACGAATCGTATATTAGATTCGTATCGTAAATGAACTATGTATAATCGATATATAAATGAATTGTATCATACATTCTTTTATTAAATTTATTCATACTCGATTCGTTTATTAATCATATAAGATATAAAAAACTCATGGAGAGGAAAAACCTTACAATTCTCTTTCTTTCTTCCTCCTCTCCCTCTTTTTTCACTACCACTAAAACTCAATTAAAGCCAACCAAAAACAACTAGCCAACTTCATTGGAAGTTTGGAACTAAACCCATACCCACCCCCAAATCCAAGCTTCCATACCCAATCACTACCTTCACCAATGTAACCACCATCTTTTCCGCAACCGTCAACAACCTTATAAACTTTATAAAAGACGAGAGAAAGATGTTTCTATTTTCAAGGCTCAAGCTTTAATTTGGCACATGTTGGAGAGAAAGATGCAGAACCTATTTGAGAGCTTGCATAAGCATAATGAAGTCTTCTTTTTATTTGCTTGTATCAACTCGTTTACAAAATGAGTGGCTTAAAAAAAAAAAAAAAAGACTAAAATCTTCTAATTTGATATGATGTCATATTATGACACCTTTACTTAAAATCCTCTTATCATTGTTTCCTTATCAAAAAGCAGATACAGAGTTACTGAACACACCGGAGTAATGAGCATTAAATGAGTTAGTTGCCTTACCTAAAAAAGTTAGCACTTTAGTGTAGCATTTCTTCAAACCATGTCGAACAAGTTAAATACAAAGCCAGAATTCTGAGTCAATTTCAGAACACAAAGGTGCAACACTTTCGAGTAAAGATCAAAGAGGGTCGCAATGGAGTGGAAAAGTGTTAGAATTGTGGGTGTGGTGGCTTTCTTGGTGGTGTTGGTTTTAGCAAAAAATGTCACAGCCCAGCCTGCTGGGGATGGGGTTTATGCTTGTTGGGGAGGATGCTACAATGAGTGTATTCTCCGAACTGGCAAAGATCCATCACAGAGGTTGCCATGTTATGGCAGTTGCCTGGGACAATGCGTTCCTCAATCTCCCTCGGATTATCAGTATTATTGTCAGATTGGTTGTTCATTCGAATCTTGCATCCTCTTTAGCTACGGTATCAGGATCTGTGCATCTCTCTCTCTCTCTCTCTCTCTCTCTCTCTCTCTCTCTCACACACACACACACACATATGCACACGTGCACGCATGCACAAATGCACCAACTTCTCAAGGGAAGGTAGCAGTCTTGTACAAGCGTGAGACTGGTTTGTGCAACCCAATGTTAATAATGGCAAATATGAATTCCATCTATGCATAAACTAATCTTGGTTAACCCATGTGAGTTAGTTTGGTGGTCAAACAAGCAACGTCATATAAACCCGTTTATGGTTTTTTTTTTGGTCTAAATCATCCGGTATCCGATAACCACAACGGGTTCCGACTAATTTGAATTTGAGCTGGACAGAACAAGAAGGGCGACAAAAACTCTTCCTACCAAGTATTTAACGCACTTAAATTTCCAAGTCTCGAATCGAAAATCTTGGTTAAGTTAGAATAGTCCCAATCTAATTGATCTACGCGCTTGGTGGTAACCCGTTTATGATTTTGAATCACCTAAGCCAAGTAAATCCCGAGTTTAAATGAGGTGTGTAATTTACATGGGATTGCGTGCATGAAAAATATTCCCTCTTGGGGGTCATATTTCATATCTTACTTACAGATATTAACCCTAGGAGATGTTTGATTACATTTGTACATGGCTATTTTCCTTTAATATGCACGTGGTTTTACTTGCAGATGGGGCAAGCCTGGAAAGGTGCATTGAAAGCTGTGCCAATCTCTGCAAGCCTTAAAAGCTTAGTCATCTAAACTTTATGTAATAAATAAGATTGACTCCTGGTTTGTCTTTACTCTGTATAATAATTCTATTAGATTATTAGGGTGATCATTTTATTTTCTTTTATTTCCCTTTTAATTTTATTATATGTACTCGGTAATTAATATAATTACCATGTTGGATATTGTGATAAATAATCAACACAACACAATGGGACATTAGGTGTTATTGAAAACACAAATTCTTTCTTTGAACTACGAGGTATCTGGACCTTTCCTATGCATTTAATCCTCATGTTTCACATACATGGAGAAAGTATGAGTTTCAATCCATGTGGATGGCCCTAAAAAGAGACAACAACTCTAAATCTTGGTAGAGTAGATTTCTACCCAACTTATCTGCATCCCGGATTTTAAAAGTTGAAGAGATGGTGTGAAAAACAATTGCTATGGGTTTCATGCAGCCACAATGTGGAACAAGATTGATCATGACCCCAATTTCCTAACCTAAGAAGCAGGTGGCAACAATCCCACANTCTCTCTCTCTCTCTCTCTCTCTCTCTCTCTCTCTCTCTCACACACACACACACACATATGCACACGTGCACGCATGCACAAATGCACCAACTTCTCAAGGGAAGGTAGCAGTCTTGTACAAGCGTGAGACTGGTTTGTGCAACCCAATGTTAATAATGGCAAATATGAATTCCATCTATGCATAAACTAATCTTGGTTAACCCATGTGAGTTAGTTTGGTGGTCAAACAAGCAACGTCATATAAACCCGTTTATGGTTTTTTTTTTGGTCTAAATCATCCGGTATCCGATAACCACAACGGGTTCCGACTAATTTGAATTTGAGCTGGACAGAACAAGAAGGGCGACAAAAACTCTTCCTACCAAGTATTTAACGCACTTAAATTTCCAAGTCTCGAATCGAAAATCTTGGTTAAGTTAGAATAGTCCCAATCTAATTGATCTACGCGCTTGGTGGTAACCCGTTTATGATTTTGAATCACCTAAGCCAAGTAAATCCCGAGTTTAAATGAGGTGTGTAATTTACATGGGATTGCGTGCATGAAAAATATTCCCTCTTGGGGGTCATATTTCATATCTTACTTACAGATATTAACCCTAGGAGATGTTTGATTACATTTGTACATGGCTATTTTCCTTTAATATGCACGTGGTTTTACTTGCAGATGGGGCAAGCCTGGAAAGGTGCATTGAAAGCTGTGCCAATCTCTGCAAGCCTTAAAAGCTTAGTCATCTAAACTTTATGTAATAAATAAGATTGACTCCTGGTTTGTCTTTACTCTGTATAATAATTCTATTAGATTATTAGGGTGATCATTTTATTTTCTTTTATTTCCCTTTTAATTTTATTATATGTACTCGGTAATTAATATAATTACCATGTTGGATATTGTGATAAATAATCAACACAACACAATGGGACATTAGGTGTTATTGAAAACACAAATTCTTTCTTTGAACTACGAGGTATCTGGACCTTTCCTATGCATTTAATCCTCATGTTTCACATACATGGAGAAAGTATGAGTTTCAATCCATGTGGATGGCCCTAAAAAGAGACAACAACTCTAAATCTTGGTAGAGTAGATTTCTACCCAACTTATCTGCATCCCGGATTTTAAAAGTTGAAGAGATGGTGTGAAAAACAATTGCTATGGGTTTCATGCAGCCACAATGTGGAACAAGATTGATCATGACCCCAATTTCCTAACCTAAGAAGCAGGTGGCAACAATCCCACAAAAAAAGCCAAGTGCTGCACTGGAGCCCACTAGAGAAACAGCAGTGCACAGAAGCATCACAAAGGACTCTTCTTTAGAGTTCATGTCCCTTGAACAAATGGCCAATTCAATCCCAGCAAACAAAAGAAGAACTCCCAAGACTCCCACAGGAAATTGATTCAAAACCTTGACCAAAGAGCTACCAAAAACCAACTTAGCTGCACCAAGAAGTGCCACACAACCACCAGTCCTCCCACCAAATTTATACTGCCCAGCTAGCCCCCCTGCACCATGGCAGCATGGCATTGCCCCAAACTAGCACCCCACTAGGTTCATTACCCCCACTGCCACAGAAACCGATGTGCTGATGTGTCCTTCCCCGGAAATAGATCGGTTGACAACTTACTGATAGCGATAACTGAATTCAAGACTAATAATAACAGTTGAGGGACTGTACCCTTTACGAACCCTTCCTTCCATGAATGCTTTGAAATTTTCACAATTTCAATAGAAGATGGCCCAAATTTAAACCCCTTGACCACTTTAGGCCCCCTTATAATGGCCAAAACCACACCCAACAAAAAGATTATGAAGGCTGAAGGAACAGAAACTATGATTTTCCTCAATTTTCTCCTCCTTCCAACACTTTCTTCATCACCCAAATCACAGTTTCTCTCTCTATCCTCATTTTCATCATCTGCATCATTAACAATCATGATGAAACAAGCACAAACAAGGGCTAAAAGCAAACCATCCAACCCCAACCAATCCCTCTCCCCTATAGACTTTGACTTAGAAAAATTCTGTTCTTTTCTTATGTACTTCACAGAAGTCATTGCAAATGATAAGCCTTGTGCTAGCTGAATTCCCCTCACAACAGACAGTGGAATTAGCCTATACACAAAAATATTTGAATGGGCTACCATAGCAGTCAATTGAGAAGGTGAATGTCGACCTTGATAGGTGTAGTCCATTCTATGGTAACAATCAAGTGTCTGGTGATTGTTTTTTCCCGCAAATTTGGCAAGGTGATCGTGAACGAGTGAAATTGTTTGGTGGTTGAGTGGAAGAAGCATTTCTTTGAGGCATTTTTGGAGATGATAATCGATTGGACTGGGAACTATATTTTTGTTGGGATGCTGAAGATTTGCGATAAGGAGGCTGCGGTCCAGATTTAGGTGCAAACAATGCAAAGTTACCAGCATCCGCCGAAAGGGGCTGTTGTTGATGTTCAACAAGCATTTCATGACTAAACAACTCAGCTTGAAAGTCATCAAATGTGAAATGCTCATCTCTGGCAGCAAAGATGAATGCAGTAACAAAAGAGTTAAAAGAAGAATTCAGACCACTTGTGATGAAAGAAATTAGTTCTTTATCATCCTTGGGTTTTCCAACAGCAGCCAACTGACTGAACCAGCTTTTGGCAAGTTGCAAGTACTTGGAACACGATTTGGTTCATTGTTGAAGCGTTTGTAACTGTTGCTTCAAGTGAGAAATGCGAGACCTAGACTGAGACGCAAACTGACTGCCCAAGGATGACCAAACTTGCCTAGACGTGTCCAAGTCATAGACGGTTGAGAGAACCTTCTCGGATAAAGTGGCATTGACCAACTGAGGAGGTATTGATCTTTCTTTGTCCAGATAATGCATTCTGGATTAAGGGATTCTGTTCCAGGGAGTTTCGTTGGTGGGCAGGGCTCAGAACCATCCACGATGCCCAAGAGGTCATTGCTCCGTAGAACCGGGAGACATTGGGATAGCCAAAGAAGATAATTTGCTCCATCTAGCTTGATGGAGATGAGTTGCATGATGTTTGGAAACGTGAAGGTAGTACCAATAGTAGTGGACAAATTAGAGTTGGAGTTGGAGTTGGTGGTAGTGGTATTGGTAGATGATGAATTAGAGCTGATATCAGCCATGGAGGGGCGGGATCTATTGACGATGGCCGAGAGGCTCTGAGACCATGAAAGAAGAAAGAAGAAATTGATATATATATTAAAATGAATATGCTTAGCTAGGCAAAGTTATATACACCAAGGTCAAGCAAAGATCCCAAGATTCACTGCTATGATAAGGATAAAGTTTACGAATGATAAGCATAATCAAGTAACAGAGGATTGAAACATTGGATCTGTTGGATCAGGATCAGGATGATCTTCTGGATTTGCTGCATGATGATCAGAGGCTGGACTAGGATCAGAATGATCTTCTGGATTTGCTGCATGATGATCAGAAGCTCTAACATATTATTGCTGTCCATAAGGAATTGTTAGCTTTTGCAATGAGGAAGCTGTTTTTGCCTCCTTATACTCCATTCAGCAGTTCAGTGGCAGGACTCAATGCTCCAAATCCTTCTCAGTCAGCAGGAGGAAATCCATTTGGATAGTTGCAATAAAATTTTCTTGCTCCATTTCAAGATTATGATAATTTGTTCTGCCCCCCTAACATCCTAGGAGAAGCCTGGTCCTTTCTGGTTGAAGGTAAAATGAAACCAAGCATTTTGTATTCTAAATGTGTATGTCTATTGGTATTTTTATGTTGTATTGTTTCTGCACTATAGCAATTTTTTGAATTTTGACTAGGTTAGTGTTACCATTTTCTCTATAACAATGGTTTGGATTTCTCCTCCAGTTCAAAACTATATTTAGATATACAAACTGCATTTAGAGATACGAAATGACGTTCTTGGTAGATAATATAGTAGAAAAAGATATGCCATTCATTTTTTAATATGCTTTTGATCAACGGATTAGGCTATGGTATCAAAATCTTCAATATTATACCCAAAGTAGTTTCTAGTCATAGGTATTGTTTTGACATACCATTATTGGACTTGCCACGAACATGACTTTAGAGAGAGGTGTGCTATCTCATGATGGTTCTGCTTCTTATGGCTCATGTTTTGTCTCTTAAAAATAACATTACAATGCATTTTTAAGCTTGTAGATGAATGTTTAAATTCTACAACGGAAATGTGTACTAATCCACTTTCCCAACACCTCTTTTAATTTTGTCAGTGTAGGTGATCACTTGATCAGCATTAATACAATTGATTATAGCTAGTTTGTAAATCCCTCTTGTTTCTGTCTGGAGGGCAATAACTAGACATTTTAACATACCATGGTTCAAAAAATTAGGTGCAGTAATTGTGTCATGTCACGTGTGTTTGTATCATGTTATTAATCGTGTCGTGACAACCCAACTTATTTATGTTTGTGTCGTGTTCGTCTTGACTCTTATAGCCTGTGAATAAAAATTTTTAAGATTATTTAAGTTTAAGATTCTATTATCACTTAATTTAACCCATGTTCATACTTTTTCTATAAACTAAAAATTAATTTAATAGACATAATAATAAAAATGAGAAAATATTTTTTTTTGGTACAAGAATTACGTAAATACTTGATAAAAAGTAAAAAAAAAAATTATAATTTTAATCCTATAATACTAGTTGAATGTGTTAATCGTGTAAATTTCGTGTTATTTGTGTTTAATACTAACTCAATCTATTTATTATTCTTGTTAATGGGTTAGGTCATTTATGGGTATGCATCGAAAAATAGTTAATCCAAACCCACTAATTTAGTGCTAATTTCGAGTCATATTTTTGCGCCGTGTCAAAAATTATAACCCCAATAATAAATTAAGGGTTGGGGTCTATGAGGGATGGCTATGACTTTTAAACCCCAGACATTAATAGTTGGTTTGGCAGAAAGGGAAAATGAGGGATGAAAAAAATATAAGAAATAGACTTTTCATCCTTTGAGGAAAGAAATATACTTTCCTTCCTTATTATTTGATAGAAATGATGAAAAATTAGAAGATACAAATTTTTTACCATCCACTTTCCGCTTATCTTTTGAGTGATTAAAAATGGTGGGCGGGTGGGATGCATTTTCCCTCCTCTCTTTTTTTTTTCTTCATTTTATTCACCATTTTTCATTCACCCAATTTTCCACCAAACCAAACAGCCCATAAAGGGTGTTTAGTGGCGCACATGACTCCTCTCAGATGTCCTCTTGTAGCACAATTATTTGTGACTTGGAAGGAAAATAGATTACATTTTTTGATAAGAACCAAACATTTTATTAATATGGAGTCGCACAACAAGTAGGAAGAGGTTAATGATCAAAAGTTTGTTTCGGTGTCAGATCCATGAAAATAACGTTCGATTTGCATGTGTTAAGTATATAATTAGTGTTCTTTCTGAATTAGGTTGAAACTCTTTATTATTTCAATCACTTAAAAAATAGAAATGCATCAAAAATATTTTTGAATATAATGAAACCAAAAAAAAATTAAAATTTGATTTTTGAGATATTTTAAAATATTGATTGAAATATATCAAAATATTTTAAAACACTCCGAAACACCTCAAAATTAGAAATTTCGATCTTCAATCAATAATTGTTATTATTTCCATGGAAATAGACTCATTTTTGACTTTTTTGAAACAATTNATGAGAAAATATTTTTTTTTGGTACAAGAATTACGTAAATACTTGATAAAAAGTAAAAAAAAAAATTATAATTTTAATCCTATAATACTAGTTGAATGTGTTAATCGTGTAAATTTCGTGTTATTTGTGTTTAATACTAACTCAATCTATTTATTATTCTTGTTAATGGGTTAGGTCATTTATGGGTATGCATCGAAAAATAGTTAATCCAAACCCACTAATTTAGTGCTAATTTCGAGTCATATTTTTGCGCCGTGTCAAAAATTATAACCCCAATAATAAATTAAGGGTTGGGGTCTATGAGGGATGGCTATGACTTTTAAACCCCAGACATTAATAGTTGGTTTGGCAGAAAGGGAAAATGAGGGATGAAAAAAATATAAGAAATAGACTTTTCATCCTTTGAGGAAAGAAATATACTTTCCTTCCTTATTATTTGATAGAAATGATGAAAAATTAGAAGATACAAATTTTTTACCATCCACTTTCCGCTTATCTTTTGAGTGATTAAAAATGGTGGGCGGGTGGGATGCATTTTCCCTCCTCTCTTTTTTTTTTCTTCATTTTATTCACCATTTTTCATTCACCCAATTTTCCACCAAACCAAACAGCCCATAAAGGGTGTTTAGTGGCGCACATGACTCCTCTCAGATGTCCTCTTGTAGCACAATTATTTGTGACTTGGAAGGAAAATAGATTACATTTTTTGATAAGAACCAAACATTTTATTAATATGGAGTCGCACAACAAGTAGGAAGAGGTTAATGATCAAAAGTTTGTTTCGGTGTCAGATCCATGAAAATAACGTTCGATTTGCATGTGTTAAGTATATAATTAGTGTTCTTTCTGAATTAGGTTGAAACTCTTTATTATTTCAATCACTTAAAAAATAGAAATGCATCAAAAATATTTTTGAATATAATGAAACCAAAAAAAAATTAAAATTTGATTTTTGAGATATTTTAAAATATTGATTGAAATATATCAAAATATTTTAAAACACTCCGAAACACCTCAAAATTAGAAATTTCGATCTTCAATCAATAATTGTTATTATTTCCATGGAAATAGACTCATTTTTGACTTTTTTGAAACAATTTTTTTATGTGGAAGATTTCCAAACCTCCCTTAACAAAAAGCAAAAAAAAAAAAAAAGAAGTAGAAAAAAGACTGTCACTTGACCCAAATGGTTGTCGCTTAGGTATGGTGTCTGATGGCAAAATCTCGGCTTAAGCCGCTATCCAAAACCTAAAGCATCTAATGGGCCCTTGGATACATGGCAACCCAAATGGCGAATCCACAATCTGTACATCTCCCAATAAGAATGGGCCACAATCTAAAAACAGAGAGTCCAATGACACTTAAATCGATACATT